CTGCTGCCCAGAGCAGCTGTGAACGTGATGCTCCCTGACAAGGGAAGTGTGATGAGGGGCTCGATGCAATCCTCTCGCCCAGCTGCCTGTCTGCTGTACGTGTTCTCTGGGTTCGGTTCTCTTCAGAGAGAACAATGTTTTCTGTGCAGTCTTTGCCGGGGTAGTTAAAATGTAACGGAAGATGCAGGCAATGAGGAGGAGAAGCTGAAAAAATAAGGCAATTATGTGTGAAAATATGAGCACTTTTCTGTCTGATGGGGAAAAAGAGATTTTTGCACATTTGTAACTGACTAAGCCTTTCTTCTTCAAAATTTAGACGCTGCATGTAAACAAATGGCTGTTCTGGTGTTAGTGGGGAAAATAATAAATACATGCCAAAGGTATATAATTAACACTAATTAACACATTAACGTGGCCTAGAGCAAAGTGTCCCTGCCCATGGCAAGGGATTGGACACAGGCTGTAAGGGGAAAGGTGCAGAAATCATTTTTGCTTTTGATTGCTGTGTCATTCCGGTAGTAACAAAAAGAGGAGATAGCAATGACGTATCAGAAATTAAGAGAAAATATTTCATGTCTTGCCTTTCACTCTCAGAGAAAGTAAAGAAAATTAATTTGTTGCCATTGATTAAGAAGCATAAGGAGTTAAAATGATTAATTTAATATAGCATTTTCATTTCTGGGGAGTGAATTCGGGTCACTGCTACCCTGTCTGTTCTTCTCGCTGTCCTCTTCATTCCAGCAGGAGCAGGTACTCGACAATGCGATTAGGGGGATCGGAATCTAACCTGGAAGCCTAAAAATGTAGGAAAGCACATTATAGTAGAAAAAAAGGAAAGCATGTCAGTAAACATATGATCCAGTGGAACTCGCGTTAAAAAGCAGTTCAATAACATCAATAGCCATTAGGAGAGGAACAGCACGTATTATTATAGAACTTTGGAAGAACATTTTGTCTTTGGCTTTCGGTTTATTTGTAACTAATGTGTAATGCACTGGGATCTATGTAAGAATTTAAGGGGACTAGCGAGCTTTTCTTTGTATAAAATTTCAGGGATGTGAAACAGAAAAACGAGTTTCAAAAAAGCAAACCTCGAGGTTCTCATTATAATGAAATACAATGTCCAAAATAATTGCAAAGAGCCTTTTATTATCCTTGCATGGGTCTGGGCACAATGAGCCAGTAAGTAGAGTGAGAAGGAGCTTTTAAGGAGATGCTCAGAGGCTGAAAGCCCATTTAGAAACTCCACCCAGGGTACTGGCCTGGGCTCTCTTCCCTTCCCTTAACGTTTCGTATCTCAAACATCTTGCTCTGTTCAGGCAGACAGGTCTGGCAAGCAGTTAAGGTAAATCAGTTTGTGTCACTTCACCTGCTAACTGCTTAGTCCTTAATGTCCTGATTTTATAAGTTAACTTTGGTTGAAAAGCAGAGCATATTTAACGTTGTCCTCTCTGCCCTTCCTCAGATGCTGTCCCAGCTCTGTTGTTCTTTTCTGGCTCCATTATCAAACAGATATTGATTCTATGCACAAAAACATTTTCCAGATAGTGCCACTGAGCTCCCTGCTGCAGGTCATTTTCCCCTCCAAGGTGCGAGCATTTAATTTTTGGCTTAAAGTGACTATAAGTGAATACTAACTTTCTTGTTTGGGTTTCTTTTTATTTTTTTTATTTGGGTTTTGGGGTTTGTTTTGCTTTTT